AAAAACAAAACAAAAAAAAAGTACAGTAGGAGGGACCGAGAGATGGCTCAGGTCAGGGTTTAAGAGTACTTGGTGATCTTGCAGAGTACCCACATCTGAAAGTCCATAACTACCCTGGTTCATTGTGAGTTCAAGCCAACCTGAGTAACCTAGTGAGACTGTGTCAAAATAATGGGGAGAAAAAAAGAGGGGTGAGAGTGTGGCTCAGTGGTAGAACACTGACCTAGAATCCTGCAGCAAGGGGCAAGAGACATGGCTCAGTGGTGGAGCCCCTGCCTAGAAACCCCAGTGAGGGGCTGGGGTGTGGCTCAGTGGTAGAGCCCCTGCCTAGAATCCGTCAATGAGGGGCTGGGGTGTGGCTCAGTGGTAGAGCACCTGCCTAGAATCCCCCAGTGAGGGGCTGGGGTGTGGCTCAGTGGTAGAGCACCTGCCTAGAATCCCCCAGTGAGGGGCTGGGGGTGTGGCTCAGTGGTAGAGCCTCTGCCTAGAATCCCCCAGTGAGGGGCTGGAGTGTGGCTCAGTGGTAGAGCCCCTGCCTAGAATCCCCAGTGAGGGGCTGGGGTGTGACTCAGTGATAGAGCCCCTGCCTAGAATTCCCCAGGGTGGGGATGTGGAAGCAGAGGAACACTTGTCCAGCATGTATGAGGCCCTAAACTGAGTCCTCAGTGTTGAAATGGGAAAGAGAGAGAGAATACACATGCATCTGCTTGTTTTTGCAAAACTAAGCATAAGAAGGAAAACCAACGAACAAGCAAGGCTGATTGCATCGGGGAGTAGGTGGCACACGGAGATGAGGAAAAGCGCACAGTTTTGCATGATTCTGATCTCGGAATTACATTCATATTTTATACATTCAAGGAATAAACTCAAAGCCAGGTGTGACGGCAGAGAGCTTGCTGAAGGGAGAGGGGCACAGTTGGAGACCAGCCCAAGCTACACAGCAAAACTTCATCTCAAAAGCAAAGCAAACAAGAACAAATAAATAAATAAAAATAAAAGAGTGGAGAACGATCCCAGTAACTTTTCTTTCTCTAGCTTTTCTCCTCCCTCCCTCCCTCCCCACCCCAAATTATGTATGTATTTGGTTTGTCGAGCTAGGGTAGGATCTCTCTTGCTATGCAGCGCAGACTGACTTCAAACCGTTGATCCTTCTGCCTCCAACTCCTAAATTCAGATCCTATAGGCACGCCATGACACCTACCTGTACTTCTTACTTTCTGAATCCACCCCCCACTGAAAGGAAACAAGACTTCCTGAAGAAACATCTTCTCCAAAGCCAAGGACAGTCACATTATAAGTGTACTTTGGCCCCCAAATAAGAAAGTGCTCAAGGGGCTTGAGAAATGGCTCAGTGGTTTCTTCTCTCCCAGATAAACTGGGTTC